TAATAAGATTATAGTGTTTTTTTTTTAATATTAACAAGAGTTCTTTTTGTGCAATTCATAGTAGTCATTCTTTTTATATTTCATTTGATTGTTTTACTATAATTGTCTATTATTATTATTATATAATTAAATAAAAAATATTTTTAAAAAATAAAGTTATTATACTCAATTAGATTTATGACCCGCATTGTAAGCTTAATAGATTAATTTAAATTAACTTGTTAATCTAAAATATTATCGTTTTAATTTAAAAAGAAATATAAAGTCTTTAAATTTTATTTTTAAGTTAAATTGAATTTTTATTTGTCAATGAACTTACTTTTAAATTGAGAATCTTTATTTATGTTTATCTCTCAACTTGACAGCTTAATTTTTAGCTGATGTTAAAAAAAATTTCACACTCATTTGCTCGTGTAATTCTCAAGTTTTGTGTCAGTGGTTAAAAAAAAAATTAACTCCTTGAGTTTCAATACCATGACATTATAAAAAAAAAAAAAAAAAGCTAGAAGAAATAAGACCAATCCTAGTTCATAGGTGTGCCAAAGGAAGCACCAACCTAATCCAAGAAGTGTGTACAAAAACTCATAACAAGGTTAATTGTGTTGCCAGCCTTGAATCTAACCCTGATAGCAAACAAGCCAATCTACAGCAACTTGGCATAATTGCATTAAACCTTGCATCAACGAACGCAACAAACACATCCTCGTACATCAAGACAACATTGCTTAGTAACAAAACTCTGGGCCCTGTCAATGAGCAAGCCCTAGAAGATTGTTCAGATCAATACTTGGATGCCATCCAGCAACTTGATAACTCATTGGCTGCTTTGTTAGCCAATGCTACTAATGATGTACGTGCTTGGGTGAGAGCAGCACTTGCTAATGTTGAATCATGCGAGAATGGATTCAAGAAACAGGCTCCTGGCCAACAAACGTTGCTGTCTTCGAGAAACGCAGTTTTTCGCCAAATGTGCAACAATGTCTTGGTCATCAACAAACTCTTAAGCCGAACAAGTGCTGGAAGTAATTAAGAGCAGTCGTAAATTTTTCCCAGCCAATCCACAAGGAATTTTCTTTTTTTTCTCATTAAAAGGCTTTCCTTGGTAATAAATAATTTTAAACATTATTTGGCAAAAGTATGGTGTGCTTTCTCTCGATTACCATTGAAGTTATGCAGAAAACTACTGTGAAGGTGAATTTTTTTGATCATATATGAGAGGAGTATTTTTTATTTTTTACATATGAATAGAAGAAAAATTACTTTATTTTTACAATAGGAAAATTCAGTAATCACCAAGAATACCTGTCATGAAAAGAAAAAAAGTAAACCATTTTTTAAAATATGTATAAGAGATGGTATTTATTTATTTATGGATCTCTTTAAATGACTACAACTAGTACTTCATAACTTATATTCATGATAATAGTTATTAAATAACTCGGTGACTCAAGAATTCAGAGCCTTATATAATTAAACCAAATTAATTTCATCTTGAATTATTTTTTGAAATTGACTTGGTTAAACTTGAATAAACTAGATAGTTAATATTTAACCCATTTGACTATACTAAATCTGATTTAAACTCGAACAGATCAAAATCAAGAAATATTTTTAAATTAAAATAATATTATCGCATGTATGTGGCATCACGGCAATCGTTCACTCTCCAAAAAAATAGATATGTGTATTTCTGAAAAAATATAAAGAGACAGAAAATTCTTATCTTTTATCAGTGAAAAATTAAAATGGAAGTCGTCATCTAATATTTTGGTCACTGGAAGCCCTAACTAGTTTCAGAGATCAGGTACAAAGACTAGTTGCGTAAAGAGAAAGTATTAGCACCCCAAGTGCCCTACCTAAAGCAGACTACATTGTTTTGTCTGATAAAATCTAAAGTCGTGTTATGGTTTCTAATTGTTAATTTGTTTAAGGTTCAAGACAAGCCCTCCTTAATAAGAAGATTCTTATCTTAATACAATAAAACCTAATCGTTTTATTGTCCAGAAAAAAGAATTAAATATCCGGAATACGTATTACTTTTAATGTTATACCCCGGATACTAAGAAACAAACAAAATAAAATTTTTGTTATTTTTGAAATTTTGATCAATCTCTTGACTTTAATAAACTAGTTATTAAACCAAAATGCATGCTAAAATATTGTTTCTTGATGTATAAAAAAACACAATATGATTTTTTAGCTTTAAGATAGTTGGCCGTATACACAAAAAAAAAAAAATTAATTTTTTTGTAATTTTGAAAGTTTTGATGAAAACCAAGTATTTTAATATTGAATTTGTATTTTTACAACATAAAAATACTACATGATATTGATCAAAATTACATAAAAAAACTATGCAGAAAAATTGTAAAATTCTAAACAAAAAATATTTTTTAATTTTTTTTAATGAACTGGGTCAAACCTGACCCAACTTTTGTGGGCTAGGCTGGATCCGACCCATTTACTGTGGGCTAGCTAAACCCAACCTAGGCCTAAATGGGTTGGTTACTGTGCATCAGCACAGTAACCAGTCCACACTATATTTTTGCAACAAAACGTGAAATCATGTTCTACATGCAAAAATACAAGTGACGCTGGTAAGGAAATAAATGGTAAGGAGAAGGCTTATCTAGAGCAGTGGCGTTGCCGGTGGTTTGGGTGGCTGGCGGTGCTACTGGGGAGCTGAGGGTGGCAGGGGCAACGTTTTCTCCTTCTTCTTCCTTTCCCTCCTTTGTTTTTATTTCTTTCCTTTTCTTCTCCTCTTTTCTCTTCTTTCTCTTCTCTTTCTCTTTGCCCTCTTCCCTCTATTATGTTCTCTCTCTCTATTTGTCTTTCTCTTGGTTTGTGCTCCCCTATTTTTATAGGCAAAAACAGGGGAGACATATGGACGAGGCAACCGCTGTGCTGCCCACCCTCCACTACCCTCCCAACACATGGCAAGTGATCGGCATCTTTTAAAGGGAAGGCAGCTTCTTTTTGGAAAGGAGAAGTCATTACAAATAAGGAAAGAAAAATCTTCTTCTTCACTTGTATCGTGCATCTAGGGGAAGAAAAAGATCTAAAGTGCTCTTAAAACAACATTGTTTTGGGTTTTTTTATGAATAGTGCATGAAACGATGTCGTTTTATTTAAAAAAAAAAGGACAACAAAATGTGTTAAATTTCACATTGGTCATCAATTTATAATTTATTCAATCAAGTTATAAATTACAATTTTAATTTAAAAATCAATGCAACTGCATCCCTACCAAGAATCGAATAGCAGCCTTAAAGTTGGCCACCTTTTTCACTTTAGTCATTGGTTTTGAAATTATGTAATTTGACCCTCAATTGAGCAATAAAAATCTAATTTCTTCAATTGGACCCTTGATCCAGTTTTAATTACAGCTTCTCTATTTACGAGTCTTTGCAATTTGATCCTTAGTTTTGAATTTCTTCAATTAAGTCCCTAAATGACCAACAAACTTCAATATTTATGCAATTAAGCCCTTGATTTGACTAAATTAAATCTCAAAAATTATAATTTGACCTCGGAACTTTAATTTCTTCCAATTAAAGCCCAAATTGACTCCAAAATCAATTTTTCTTGCCATCAAACTCACCATAAATTCAATTAAACCTTTAATAAAATTTAATTGAGTCCATAACATCTGATTTTGGACTTTTCTTCCTCAAATTAAATTTTTTTTTATTAACATGGATCTTATTAGTTAATAAAATACTGTCAAATTTTAATCTTTATAATTTTGAAGCTCCTCAACCAATTTTTAACTATGTTTTGGGCACTTTGACATCCATTTATTTTTGTATTAAAAAAATTTATCTAACATGTAATGAAGTAGGGGTCAACTAACTAGATATTCTTTTATTTAATATTGTTCAATTTTTACTATATTTTTTAATAAGATTATAGTGTTTTTTTTTTAATATTAACAAGAGTTCTTTTTGTGCAATTCATAGTAGTCATTCTTTTTATATTTCATTTGATTGTTTTACTATAATTGTCTATTATTATTATTATATAATTAAATAAAAAATATTTTTAAAAAATAAAGTTATTATACTCAATTAGATTTATGACCCGCATTGTAAGCTTAATAGATTAATTTAAATTAACTTGTTAATCTAAAATATTATCGTTTTAATTTAAAAAGAAATATAAAGTCTTTAAATTTTATTTTTAAGTTAAATTGAATTTTTATTTGTCAATGAACTTACTTTTAAATTGAGAATCTTTATTTATGTTTATCTCTCAACTTGACAGCTTAATTTTTAGCTGATGTTAAAAAAAATTTCACACTCATTTGCTCGTGTAATTCTCAAGTTTTGTGTCAGTGGTTAAAAAAAAAATTAACTCCTTGAGTTGCAATACCATGACATTATAAAAAAAAAAAAAAAAGCTAGAAGAAATAAGACCAATCCTAGTTCATATGTGTTTAATTAGGTTTTTTTATTAAAAAGAAAAAGAAAAAGAAAAAGAAGAAGAAGAAGAAAAGAATGACTACAACAGCTAAGACTTTGGTAACAAATGGATATTACCATCATGTTATTATGTCTAACTATTTTGAACAACACAAAGGGTTGGATCGTACACCATAGTAAGTTTGATCAAAGATAATATCATTTTAGGTTCAAAAAATTTATAAATATACAAGTCTAGATATGATGTGGTCTTCCTAGACCCAGTCATAAACGATTCTTTGAGAAAATCCAAGGTAGGATTTAGAGGGATGATGAAGGGCCCTGTTGTTTTTCTAACTTTATTGACTGCTTCGGAGTTGGCCTGAGAATTATATTGAAGCCCTGAAGAACAGCTTTCTTTAGTGGCTAACCGCATTTGTTTCTTCCATTTCTAGTCTTTGCTTGAATCCTTTTGCTTACTAATTTAACAGAAACTTACCTCATACTAGTTGTCCAAAAAACTATTTTTGAAAAATTAGCCTGTTCCTTTCTTGATATAAACCACAAACAACCAGCCCCTTTTAGCAGATTACAGAGAAGATGAAGCCCGTTACAAGTTTCTTCTTGTTTTCTGTAACTATAAGCCTCGCCTTCTTCTTCCACCCATCCGTGGCCAAAGGAAGCACCAACCTAATCCAAGAAGTGTGTACAAAAACTCATAACAAGGTTAATTGTGTTGCCAGCCTTGAATCTAACCCTGATAGCAAACAAGCCAATCTACAGCAACTTGGCATAATTGCATTAAACCTTGCATCAACGAACGCAACAAACACATCCTCGTACATCAAGACAACATTGCTTAGTAACAAAACTCTGGGCCCTGTCAATGAGCAAGCCCTAGAAGATTGTTCAGATCAATACTTGGATGCCATCCAGCAACTTGATAACTCATTGGCTGCTTTGTTAGCCAATGCTACTAATGATGTACGTGCTTGGGTGAGAGCAGCACTTGCTAATGTTGAATCATGCGAGAATGGGTTCAAGAAACAGGCTCCTGGCCAACAAACGTTGCTGTCTTCGAGAAACGCAGTTTTTCGCCAATTGTGCAACAATGTCTTGGTCATCAACAAACTCTTAAGCCGAACAAGTGCTGGAAGTAATTAAGAGCAGTCGTAAATTTTTCCCAGCCAATCCACAAGGAATTTTCTTTTTTTTCTCATTAAAAGGCTTTCCTTGGTAATAAATAATTTTAAACATTATTTGGCAAAAGTATGGTGTGCTTTCTCTCGATTACCATTGAAGTTATGCAGAAAACTACTGTGAAGGTGAATTTTTTTGATCATATATGAGAGGAGTATTTTTTATTTTTTACATATGAATAGAAGAAAAATTACTTTATTTTTACAATAGGAAAATTCAGTAATCACCAAGAATACCTGTCATGAAAAGAAAAAAAGTAAACCATTTTTTAAAATATGTATAAGAGATGGTATTTATTTATTTATGGATCTCTTTAAATGACTACAACTAGTACTTCATAACTTATATTCATGATAATAGTTATTAAATAACTCGGTGACTCAAGAATTCAGAGCCTTATATAATTAAACCAAATTAATTTCATCTTGAATTATTTTTTGAAATTGACTTGGTTAAACTTGAATAAACTAGATAGTTAATATTTAACCCATTTGACTATACTAAATCTGATTTAAACTCGAACAGATCAAAATCAAGAAATATTTTTAAATTAAAATAATATTATCGCATGTATGTGGCATCACGGCAATCGTTCACTCTCCAAAAAAATAGATATGTGTATTTCTGAAAAAATATAAAGAGACAGAAAATTCTTATCTTTTATCAGTGAAAAATTAAAATGGAAGTCGTCATCTAATATTTTGGTCACTGGAAGCCCTAACTAGTTTCAGAGATCAGGTACAAAGACTAGTTGCGTAAAGAGAAAGTATTAGCACCCCAAGTGCCCTACCTAAAGCAGACTACATTGTTTTGTCTGATAAAATCTAAAGTCGTGTTATGGTTTCTAATTGTTAATTTGTTTAAGGTTCAAGACAAGCCCTCCTTAATAAGAAGATTCTTATCTTAATACAATAAAACCTAATCGTTTTATTGTCCAGAAAAAAGAATTAAATATCCGGAATACGTATTACTTTTAATGTTATACCCCGGATACTAAGAAACAAACAAAATAAAATTTTTGTTATTTTTGAAATTTTGATCAATCTCTTGACTTTAATAAACTAGTTATTAAACCAAAATGCATGCTAAAATATTGTTTCTTGATGTATAAAAAAACACAATATGATTTTTTAGCTTTAAGATAGTTGGCCGTATACACAAAAAAAAAAAAATTAATTTTTTTGTAATTTTGAAAGTTTTGATGAAAACCAAGTATTTTAATATTGAATTTGTATTTTTACAACATAAAAATACTACATGATATTGATCAAAATTACATAAAAAAACTATGCAGAAAAATTGTAAAATTCTAAACAAAAAATATTTTTTAATTTTTTTTAATGAACTGGGTCAAACCTGACCCAACTTTTGTGGGCTAGGCTGGATCCGACCCATTTACTGTGGGCTAGCTAAACCCAACCTAGGCCTAAATGGGTTGGTTACTGTGCATCAGCACAGTAACCAGTCCACACTATATTTTTGCAACAAAACGTGAAATCATGTTCTACATGCAAAAATACAAGTGACGCTGGTAAGGAAATAAATGGTAAGGAGAAGGCTTATCTAGAGCAGTGGCGTTGCCGGTGGTTTGGGTGGCTGGCGGTGCTACTGGGGAGCTGAGGGTGGCAGGGGCAACGTTTTCTCCTTCTTCTTCCTTTCCCTCCTTTGTTTTTATTTCTTTCCTTTTCTTCTCCTCTTTTCTCTTCTTTCTCTTCTCTTTCTCTTTGCCCTCTTCCCTCTATTATGTTCTCTCTCTCTATTTGTCTTTCTCTTGGTTTGTGCTCCCCTATTTTTATAGGCAAAAACAGGGGAGACATATGGACGAGGCAACCGCTGTGCTGCCCACCCTCCACTACCCTCCCAACACATGGCAAGTGATCGGCATCTTTTAAAGGGAAGGCAGCTTCTTTTTGGAAAGGAGAAGTCATTACAAATAAGGAAAGAAAAATCTTCTTCTTCACTTGTATCGTGCATCTAGGGGAAGAAAAAGATCTAAAGTGCTCTTAAAACAACATTGTTTTGGGTTTTTTTATGAATAGTGCATGAAACGATGTCGTTTTATTTAAAAAAAAAAGGACAACAAAATGTGTTAAATTTCACATTGGTCATCAATTTATAATTTATTCAATCAAGTTATAAATTACAATTTTAATTTAAAAATCAATGCAACTGCATCCCTACCAAGAATCGAATAGCAGCCTTAAAGTTGGCCACCTTTTTCACTTTAGTCATTGGTTTTGAAATTATGTAATTTGACCCTCAATTGAGCAATAAAAATCTAATTTCTTCAATTGGACCCTTGATCCAGTTTTAATTACAGCTTCTCTATTTACGAGTCTTTGCAATTTGATCCTTAGTTTTGAATTTCTTCAATTAAGTCCCTAAATGACCAACAAACTTCAATATTTATGCAATTAAGCCCTTGATTTGACTAAATTAAATCTCAAAAATTATAATTTGACCTCGGAACTTTAATTTCTTCCAATTAAAGCCCAAATTGACTCCAAAATCAATTTTTCTTGCCATCAAACTCACCATAAATTCAATTAAACCTTTAATAAAATTTAATTGAGTCCATAACATCTGATTTTGGACTTTTCTTCCTCAAATTAAATTTTTTTTTATTAACATGGATCTTATTAGTTAATAAAATACTGTCAAATTTTAATCTTTATAATTTTGAAGCTCCTCAACCAATTTTTAACTATGTTTTGGGCACTTTGACATCCTTTTTTACTATTTATATTTTTTATAATATTTTTTTATTTTTTTGCATTTTATTTTTTTTAAAAAAAAATATGAATCGAGAAATAACCCAAAAATAAGTTATGACAAATATCATCTTAGATAATATACATACATATATATATATATACACACACACACCTGGGTTGACCCATGAGTTGACTCAACAAACCAAAGACCTGGGTTTTAAACCAAATCAAATCTGGAACGAATCTAACTATTATAATCTCAGTCACATGATTTATTAAATTTACAGGAAAAAAGGTCATGTGTGACCAAGGACTCAAGATTAACAAGCTATTCGGAGATAGAACTTGGAACTTATTATGATATCTTCCGTATCTCAAAGCAATATTTTTTTACCACTTGTGGTGAATTTTATTTTGTTTTTGTTTTATTTATGAATCACTTGTGGTTATCCTGTGGAATAATTCACTGACAAACCATCAGGAGTATTCCTCAAGTCTCTCACCATGATTATATATCCTCCAACCCATTCTCAAATCATATTCTCCATTGTTCAACCCAAGTAACCAAATCAGCATCACGATCTCCACAAAAATGGACAAAATGGAGTCTCGAGGTGAAGTCCATGAACCCCTTTTACGCTCAATCCCAGAACATGAACCAATTTCTCACTATCATGAATTGGACTTCCAGGCTTGAAAATGTCGACACCAACTTAGGCTACTTCGAGCGCCTCGGTTGGCATCCTGGATTGAGCTTAAGATCCTTCTCCGCTTGGCTGCGCCTGCTGTTTTGGTTTACTTGATCAACAACCCATGTCCTTGTCTACCAGAATCTTCGCTGGCCACCTCGGCGATCTTGAGCTTGCTGCTGCCTCTCTTGGCAATGTGGTGTCCAACTCTTAGGCTATGGCCTCGTGGAAATATATACAACAAAATGACTTAAAATGTGATTTAACTTTTTAGGGTTTAATCTTATTGATTTTGTACCTTGATCTTGTAGTTAGGGAAGGGACGTGCTGTGGAAACTCTGTGGCCAATCTTATGGAGCTCGCCGATATGAGATGTTCGGCAAATATCTTCAAAGATCAATTTTTTAATGTTTTCGCAAAGCCAATTTGATCTTACTTGATGAACCAACAACCGTAGCGTCAGCAGCGCGGCTGTCTTTGTTTGTGTTCTCATACCCAAATTTTGCTTACGCTGTGAATTTTCCTATACAAAAATTCCTTCAAGCACAAAGTATTGCAACCCCATGTGCCATAATATCAGCAACTGCACTTGTCTTTCACCTAGTGTTAACTGGGCTTGCAGTGTACAATTTAAGGTGGGATTGACAGGAGCATCACTGCCTGCCATGGTGGATTATAGTGGCTGCTCAAGTTGTGTTTATAGTGATGAGTAGGCGGTGCAAGAGCACATGGACTGGCTTTACCTGCCAAGCTTTTACTGGGCTGTGGATTTTCTGAAATTATCTTCTGCATCAGCTGTAATGCTTTGCTTGGAGACCTGATATTTGATTCCGACAAATTACGCATAATAATTTGTAATTTTGTACATTTTCACTACTAGTAGACTTTTGTAGTTATTTGTGTGCATTATCATATGATAGTTGACATAACAGAATGCCAGGAGATCAGTGGTTGCAAATTCATATGGATATATGGACAATTAACTATAGGACAATGAGCTCTTGATTTATCGTTTGGTTATCGTTCTAATATATATAAACACAAACATGTTCAATATAGAAGCAGGAA